TGCCCTCTCAATTCTCACAGAGATTAGAGTGTGACCTCTCATATTGGGGGAGGCTAAGATACTGTGATCATATTATGCAACAATAATCCACTGAGAGACAAAATATAGAAATTTGTTTCTCTGTCACATAACAGTTCAGAATGAGTCAAGGAATTCATTTCAGCAAGGAATTTTCCTCCTGCAGTTGAGAGAACTCAGGCTCTGCCCACCTTCAGCACACAGTTTCCAAGGCTGCTGTGCTCTCTGCCGGCCCAGAAGAAGAATATGTGCAAGAGACACACCCCTCTACTCAAAAGCTTATGCTCATATTCTTTTGCTGAGAACTAGTCACCTAGCCCCACCTACTTGCAAAGGGGGACTCAGAAGCACAGACTCTAACTGGGCCACTTCCCAGCCATACTCTGTCACTGAACCTTTTTATGGTCAGCAAGATATTACCTCCATGCCTCTGTGTGTCATTTGTTGTTCTAGACTTCTCATTTAAGCCCTTGCTCTAACACTCCAAGCAGATGGGGCTGTCATTGGTCCCAGAGTCTGTTCCATCTCCCCCCGCCCCCTACTCCCTTTCCCACCCATGCCCAACCTTAACACTGCAAAGTGAAGGTCTTGGTCCTCAACCATGAGCCACATCAACCCTCCTCTCAACGTACCCCTTCTCTCTTACTTTCCTTGTATCCCAGGGAAGATATTTCCCTGCTTCTTCCTCATAAAGATGATGCTAGTAACCTTTTTTCCCAGTAACTTTAAAAATAGATTGTGATTTGTTAAAGTCACCTTTTAATTTACTGGCTTTTATTTGCTTATCATTTTAATTATTTCTGTTATATTTGGTTAGCCCTTTATACCCACAGGTTCCCCATCATTGAATTCAACCAGCCACAGATTAAAAAAAAAATTTTTAATTGTGTCTGTTCTGAACATGCACAGACTTACAGACTTTTTTCTTGTCAATCTTCCCTTATACTAAATAATATAGTATAACAGCTATTTACATGATAGTCACATTGTGTTAAATAGTATAAGTAATCTACAGTATTTAAGGTATATAAGAGGATTTGCATTGATAATATGCAAACACTGTACCATTGAATGTAACAGAATTCAGCACCTGCAGATTTTGAACATGAACCACCCCTACCTTGCATATTCAGAGGAATAGCTATACATCCATAAGATTTAATTGTTTTCCTACCAATTTTTACATTAATATTGTATTTTGTTATTGGTGCTTTCATTTGATCTAATGAATATTTTGTCTTCACAAGTCTAATTATCATTTTGTGTGACTTGCTTTTTTTAAGTCTCTTTCTGTTATTTTCTTTGGGTAAAATCTTTTCTTTGGGTAAAATCTTAAAACAGGGGACTGAGTGGCCTTGAGGTATAGTTTAATATGATCCTTACCAAATCTATTAATGAAAGAGTGAAGCAATATATTTTCAAGGTTAATAACTTCCTTTGTCGTTGCTCCCATGAAAAACACGTTCATTGAATTACATTTAATTATTGCGAATGTTCAACAATATTTAAGTTTTGTATTTGTATTTCTGATGATAATGAAAAAACCCCTAAGTTCAAGAGAGCAGGTTGTCAGAAAATGTGTTCATTAAAGACAAATTAAAACTTTTTGTTTATATGAAATCATAGTCTATACCCTAGGAAAATGTCCAAATGCCCTATCAATTGAATGAATAGTTTGTTGGTTTGTGGTTGTTTTGTTTAACTAAAAAGGCAATGCCTTCTCTTTTTTTTTTTTTTTCCTTTTTTAAAAATGTTTACGTTACTAGGCTATGAGTGGTGGCAACTACCTGTATGTAATCCAAGTAACTCAAGGAGGCTGGGGTAGGAGGATCTCAAGTTCAAGGCCAGCTTCAGCAACTTCTGGAGACCCTGCCTCAAAAAATAAGAAGGAGTAAAGGTGCTAGCTTAATGGCAGAGCACCTCTAGGTTCCAGCCCCAATATGACACACACCCACCAAACTGACTTTATTCAACAGTCTCACTAGGTTTTTCTGAACCCTCAAATTTATAAATAATTTTATTAGTAAGTTTTCCTCATAATATTAGGATCTTGACTCATACTGGGAGCTAGGACGTCTAAGAACAGCAAAACATTGATTTTTTTTTTTATCACAGATACATGTTCTGTTTTTTAGAGGTAAATATTGTATATGATAAAGAACTTGTGAGTTTTGAATTAACTGATGACTACATTTGAAAACTGAAGCATGATACTTTTGAAAGCTTTGTGACATGTGAACAGTTAATTGTTCATTCAAGAATATCATCTATTGACCACTATCTGTTTAGTTCTTTTTACCTCTATTCAATTCCATTAACAAGTAAATTGCGACTGGAATTACAAAAATGGAGTATTACTTATAGTTGTTATTCCTTTGGAGGATCGCAACCATAATGATAGCTGTGAAATAATGAAAAAGAGCAACCTTGACTTAAATAATTTTATTTTTCTGAGGTTTGCAAACCTCATAGAAGAGCCAAATTTAATTTAAATTTTTTGGAGAGGTAATAATGTTGATACTAAAATCCCTGTGCTGAGTATAGGAGAGAAAGAAGACCCGGAATTCCTAGATAATTCAGAAGATTGATCTCATGGCAGCCACTTGTTTAGAAAGATGCATTGCTGGGTATAGTGGTGCATCCCTATGATCAGTCTCAGCTACTAGGGAGGCTGAGGTAGGAGAATTTGCAAGTTCAAGGCCAGCCTGGGCAGTTTATTGAGACCCTGTCTCAAGATATAAGTAAAAAGGGCTGGGGGTGGGGATGTCAAGCTTCAAGGTGGACTCCGCCTTCTTCAGCCATTTCCTAAGTCCCTAACCAAAAGCAACTTATTTATTTTGGACCTCGGTAAAAAGAAGGGAGTTTACCATGTTATTTGTTTTCAGACTCTACCCCCAGGGAGCACTAGGGTTTCTTGGAAACTTCTCAAGAGTCTTAGTGTAGGTTGAGTTGGAGACCCAACCGGAAAAGTTTGATTACTTCCAAGGTCCCCATCCAGCTCTATAAAAGCACATTGTTCTGTTTGTATCCATTTTTTCTTTATTTATTTTTTAAGAAAAGGCTTATGGCAAATCAGGGTAAAGATAACTTTGTGAGTTAAAAGTACTTAGTATTTGGATTTGGAAGGCTAAGTGAATGAACTCAGAGGAGCACCACTTCCCTTTTTAAAAAGGGTGAGGGTGGGGTGGGAGGGAAGAAAAGGCAATGTCCACAGAGGCACTCAAAGGATTTCAGCTCTGGAAGAAAATCCTCATCTTGGACAAAAGCTTGGAACTGGTAGCTGTGAGAGATTTAAAAGAAGTCATGATAAGTAAAAAGAACATTTTGTCTTTCTCTTTTTTATTTTCAATAATCTCATAAATCAATTTCCTTGTACTTCAGATATAAATAATGTACCCTATTATTTGCTTTGGCCAACTTTTTAAGCTTTCAGAATTCTCTGTACATTAAAGCAAATTGGTATTGTTTATATTTCACAATCCAGTTGTTTCAGCAAGTATTCATGACTATTATTAATTGATTTGTCTACCTAAATAGAAAACTATAAAAACTACTTGAGTTATAGTCTGATACTGTCCATGAAATATGCAAACAAACACCTCTATAAGCTAAATATTTAGACCAATATTCTAACTGCTTATAAAGGTCTAATTTTATTTAGTTAGTTAGTTAGTTATTACTTTCTCGTTGTTATTACTGATTAGCATGAGAACAAGAGGAAGTAATGGTTATTCTTGGACCCCACATTCTGCAATTCCTCTGTTTTCTCTCCATAAATGGTTTAATTGGTTAACCACTTCCAGAATCAGATAGCCATTGGATCCAAACCTTAAGCAAGTCATTTTGACTCTTTGCCATCATTGTCTTCTCTAAAATGGAAATAATTACATTTCCTGCTCCATAATGTTTCTGCAGGGTTAAATAAATTATTATGTGATATACTTAACAGACTCAGCTCATGATTGACATGGATATTGCATATCTACTATTATTAAGCAGAAAAGCTGAAATTAGTGAAACTTGAACCTTCATGGGAGATAAGAAAGTCTGCTAAGGTAGAGGAAAAGGTATCAATCTGGGGGAACATATTCTGGAACAATTAATCTGACAACAGTCTATGAAAAAATTAGTACGAAGTGACAGCAGAGTGTCAGGGAGTTAAGATGCTCTAGGCCAGGCAAGAGATGAAAATGTCCTGAACTATCCTGTGGAATTGGATTGGGAGATAGATGCAAAGTCAGGCTTTTATTAGGGCAAGAGGAAGAAGACAATACCTTTAAACTCTCAAACCGAATGACTGGCATTATGGGTATTTCATTAATACAAGTACAATCCCAGGATTATTCTTTGATTTCTGAACATTTTCTGTATTTTGAGAAATAAGGAATGCAAAGTTTTAGAGACTAATGAATATTAAAGTTGGTCATATCACATTATACTGTAATATATGTAATAAGTAGCCAGTCATCTTCATCAAGAAATGTGTAGATAACATCTTTTAAAGAACTTTTCTTCAGTTAAGATGAACATTTCCTTTTTATCCAGTTATTTGATTTAGATTTCTATATTGTTTTGTTATTCTTTGATTGTTATATCCCAAGATTGTTGATATAATGATCCAAGGAACTCAAATATAAAATCTGTTTTTTGGGGGGAGGGGATATCAGGAATTGAACTCAGGAGCACATCCCCAACCCTATTTTGTATTTTTTTAGAAACAGGATCTCACTAAGTTGCTTAGAGCCTCACCATTGCGGAGGCTGACTTTGAACTTGCAATCCTCCTGTCTCGGCTTCCTGACTGCTGGGATTACAGGCATGCGCCACTGCACTCGGCAACAAATCTGTTGAAAACTGGGCCATCTCCTTCTGCATTTGAACCCAACATACTATATCTCTAGAAATACACATATATTTATGTAGTATTTCTCAGTTGTTAATAATTTTAGTCCATTGTTTGATTAGTATATTTATTATTTCCAGGTTCGATGGATGATGTACTGGATTGTTTTTGCCCTCTACACTGTGATTGAAACAATAGCAGATCAAACGGTTGCTTGGTGAGTTCTACTGTTAGGGACTACAAACTTATTTCAGTGTCCTGAGTTTTTGTCCTGCTCCTGCTGTTAACTAAGTGAATTTGATCAAGTTACTTCGTATCCAACATCTCATTTTCTTCATCTGCTTTCTCCATGAAAACATTACTTTCCACTCCTCAAATAACAGATCATTCTGTTCCCAAGAATTTCAGTGAAATCAAGAAGGTTGGTCTGGTGGCAGCTGCTTGTTTAAAAAGATGCAGCTCAATAGTAGAGTGCTTGCCTAGTATGCACAAAGCCCCGGGTTTAACCCCCAGTACTGCCACACACAAAAAAAAAAAAAAAAAATGTGTAGAAAAAGCTTAATGTGAATATTGAAAGTCTACACATTCCTCGGTTGCACTGTGGCAGACATGCTTTGTTGACTACACAGTAGTCACTCCTCACTGACACATACTTGTCTGCCTGTAAATCAGAAGAACCCAGACTTGTTCAGTTTATCCTAGGTATTGGCTCCTTATGGACCATAAGACAGATTAGTTAACTCTAAGAGTGCTTAAAAAAAAAAATTCACCCTAAAGTGCGTTAGAACAACAGACAAGTATTTCTTCCACATGCTGCCTGAGGGCAAATGGTTGGCTGGAGCTTTGCTGGCTCAGCTGAGTTTTAAGTGTCTTCTCATTTCAGGATCAAGGCTGAAGAAGCAGCTGTTCTCATGGTAGAAGGCAAAAGCTTAAAGCAAGAGGTTGAGGACCTTGGGGTGAGAAAGTCAAAGGGTATTGGAAGGTTCTGCTTGCATTTGACATATGTCACGTTCCCATTCTGTTGGCCAAAGCATGTCATCTGGCTAAACCCACAATCATTGGGTGGGGAAGTGTACTTAGTCTATAGGAAAGGTACTAGGAAATCATGGGAAAAAGGGCACAGATGTTAACTGGAATTCCCAGTCTACTATATGGGGGTAATTCCATTTCCCCTTCAATTGCAAGTGAAATATTGCAGTTCTGACAAGGTAGACTGGAGAGGAAGTTTTCTTGGAGTTCTGAGAAAGATTAAAAGGTGTGCATATGAGGTCTACATTGTGCACTTGGAGCATATAAAGTGTCCTGATGTTTGGAGGTATGTCCTATACTTCTATGGCAACTTAGCTCCACAGTCAGAGTGGGTATATGTTACTGCCAGGGCTAGATGGCAGAAGGGGCTGTTAATGCCCTCTCTTGACAGCTATGGTCAGTTTGACAGCTTGCACATGCTTGCTTCAAAGGAAGAATATTGTACTAGAAGTTGTGACCTTCTGAGGGCATTAGTGCACTCTGGTTAACTCATTTGTCAATTCATCAATTTGTCAATTCATTTGTCATTCAGTGTGGTGATCACACTACTTTCTACATGTAAAAACTTAACATAGAGACTAAACTTTTAAAAAGTATTTTTGTGTTTTCCACATTATAGTTACCCCCCATCCCCACTGGAAATATTTTCGGTTTTTTTTTCTTGCTAGGTTTCCTTTGTACTATGAACTGAAGATTGCTTTTGTCATATGGCTGCTCTCTCCCTATACCAAAGGAGCAAGTTTGATATATAGAAAATTCCTTCATCCACTTCTTTCTTCAAAGGAAAGGGTAAGATATATAAATTATTTCCACAAGTCATTTTTTAGAAATGTATATCAACACATGACTTATGATATAAACTTAGTGAAACTGGTACATGGTAAAGAGAAAGTCCTAGTTTGGGGCTTCTTAACAATATTTATAGATAAAACTAACATATATGGTTATTTTGTTTTTGTTTTCCCAGGAGATTGATGATTATATTGTACAAGCAAAGGAACGAGGCTATGAGACCATGGTAAATTTTGGACGGCAAGGTCTAAACCTAGCAGCTACTGCAGCTGTCACTGCAGCGGTGAAGGTAATTTTTCATTTACCTTTTTAATCCAGTGCCCCACATTAAGTCAACAGATAAAGAAAGACAATTTTTTATTTCATATGATTATAAAATTGTGGCAGAATTTTGCTTTGTGTTTGTTCTACTACTGGAAAGAACACATAGATAATTTTAAAGATAATTTAACATTGTGTTTCTGTTTGCTATTTTGAAATTCTTAGTTGATTCCTAAATGAGAGACAGTTAATTTTTAAAAAATTGAAAATGTTATTTTGTCATAATTTTCCCACTTTATAACCTTGAGACAGTTTGAATAAATCACCTTAAGTAAACATGACCATTCTTCTTTCTCTGTCTTTGGTGTTCTCTTTCTCTCCCTCTCTCTCTCTCTCTCTCTCTCTCTCTCTCTCTCTCTCTCTCTCTCTCTCGATGGCAATATCTGGGTAGGATTTCTGGCTTACTTCTGCACCTCTACTTCAATCAATTTGAGGTAACTGATTATTCTAAATAAGGCATGAAAAAATTCTGTTCTTAAAACTTGAAATTTTACTTAGCCAATTACTAATGTCATTTGCTGTGTTTGCAAGCCAAGTTATCAAATGAATGCCTTCTGTGAAAGTTTGCATTATGGCTTTTGGATTTTTTTGCATGTAGTAATTGGTGTGGTTTATTTTAAATACTGTAGAGTAATTGATTTTAATATGTGGTATATGGAAAGAAAACAGGCTTTATATCCAGAAAGTGCTGCGTGTGACTTCCTAAGTAACCATAGATAATTTATCTAATTTCTATCTTCATAAGTTGGTTGTTGTATAGAATGGGGTAATGTACCTATCTGTGAGAGCATACATAAAGAGTACTTTCTTGCACAGTGGGATTCCAGTAAACATTGATATCATATGTCTATCTCATTTCAAGTTAAAATTTGAGTTTACTGCTAGTAAGTTAAATTGAGAGTAAATAGTGTTCTGCTTTCAAGTCAGGCTCCATTAGTTATCTTAAATGCAAACAACAATGCTGTGGAAAGAAATATTCCAGTTATGTGGTGATTTTTATATCATTGCAATGTGGAAGGGATGTAACAAGAGGGTGCTTTCACTTTTCAAAGGGATCTTTGACTCAAAAATCAAAATTAATATAATCAACAGGATAAAAATTTCAAATTATATATATATATAAAACAATAATCATTAATAAATTATTATTAATTATAGTATAGTGTATACTATAATGCAGTATTATTTTCAGGTTATTAGCATTTAAGAGCTTTTTCTTTTATTAAGATAGATTAATAAATAATCATTAGAATAGCAAAAGTTTCAGCTTAAAGGACTATTTCCATTTTTAGAAGTTTAGTTGCTTTATATTTCTTATTTTATGAAAATGCAATCCTGATTTCCTTATCTACTCAAAAAAAAATCCAGGAAATCCCATATTCAACAACTAGGAATTTTAAAATGAGAAAACAGATACCTGTTTTAGTAATACCTGCTACTCAGAAGGCTGAAGCAGGAGGATCTCAAGTTTTGAGACCAGCATGGACAACTTGGTGAGGCCTGTCTAAAGATACAAAGTAAAAAAAGACAGGGGATGGGATGGGTTTGTGCCTCAGTGGTAGAGCACTTGCCTAGCATGGGTGAGGCACTGGGTTCAATCCCCAGTACCATATAAAAATAAACAAATAAATAAAGGTATTGTATCCATCTACAACTAAAAAAATATTAAAAACAAAGAAGACAGGGGATATAGCTCAGTGATAGAGCACCCTGGAGTTCCATCCCAGTACCACCAAAACAAAAACAATTTATATCTCATTCAAATGATCTAGAAGAATATTGACATTAAATTTCTAAATGGTGACATTGGAAACTTGAAAACAGAATGGTACCATCCATGATGCCATCATGATATTCACCCTCAAGTTCTGTAATGGTCAAGTTCAAGGGGGCTGGGGATATAGCTCAGTTGGCAGAGTGCTTGTTCACATGCACAAGGCCCTGGCTTCAATCCCCAGCACCACATGCACACATACAAAATTGGCAAAATCTTACTGTATGTTAATTGTACATCAATAAAATTGACACAAAAATTGTTATAAATGAATATACATTTAAAAAAAAAAGATCAGTCATATATGAGCTTCTAGTGATTTTTTTTTTTTTAATTCTACACATCTAGAGACATAGAATTTACCTATAATCCTTTGTCAGGGCAGATATGATCTGTTAAAGACAGAATAAACCACAAAAAGCAAACCATGAAGTATGAAAAACAAATTAGCAGGTTAGCCAACACAGAAGGGAGATGACAAAACTCCCAGGAAGGAACTTTGAAGCAAGTCCAAAGAGCAAACAGCCAACATTGGATGTAATGGATGAAAGGTGCTGCTGGCAAGAGTGTGGAGCTCAAAGAATCTTTTGGAAGAGTGTGGAGCTGAGAGAATCTAATGGGTTTAATACTGTTCAGGGATGTTACTCAAACATGTCAGAGTGTATGCTGCAACCACAGCACTTATTATATACAGACAGCTGGTATCTGTGCAACTGCACATCAGTCCTGAGCACCAGGAAAAGCATATTGAGGCAATGTAAAGAGGGAGAATGGAACAACTGAGCACCAACAAAGGGGGGCATAATCATCAACTCAGAGGCAAAAACAAAAGTTACATAAGAAAGGAAATAATAATAATGGAGCCTTACTTAGCCCACAGTGAATAGCATTTGCATTAATAAGAATAATGAGAATACAGACTAAGGATTTAACAAAAGTGATTTTGTTATATTGGGAGGATGAAGGAAGGAGAAAGGGAAGTGGAAAAGAACTAATCCTCATCTATCATAATGGGAAAACAAAGGGTTTGAAATGGCCAGGTTGAAAGGAAGAAGGGAACTAAGAACTTGTTGCTGTTCATTTGTAATAAAACTTAACATTATTTGACCTTTCAAACTAAGTATGTATATTTATTTACATCCAAATGAAGATGCTTTCTGAAGTTTTCATATTTAAAAGTATCATTTAACATGCTTCTATGGAGAAAAACTGAAAAATTTCAACCTGAAAATTTGTTTAGAAAACAGACATTTTCAGATATCATTTTAGTAAAGATAGAAGCGAATCCCATTTTTCCTACCCACTGTAACATGTAAGTTTAGTCTATAATCTGCTGTTCTGTGAGTCACCTTTGTACACACTGAGAACATTTTGTGGGGTACTTATTTTATTTTGATTTACATTTACTGCTACTGAACCCTCTAAGTGGGGAATTAGCGACCTCTGTTGTATTATTTCATTCTTATTTCGCCCTCATTTGTTTTTGTGGATTGTTGTTTTTTAAATATTTTTAGTTGTAGTTGGACACAATACCTTTGTTTTATTTATTAATTTTTATGTGGTGCTGAGGATCAAACCCAGTGTCTCACACATGCTAGGCAAATACTCCACCACTGAGCCACAATCTTAGCCCATTCTCATTTGTTTTTTGTTTTAGTTTGGTTTGGGGATTATTTTATTATTATCATTATTATTATTATTTCATATTTTTTATATATTGATAGACCTTTATTTTATTCATTTATATATATGAATTTATTTACATGCAGTGCTGAGAATCAAACCCAGTATCTTACACATGCTAGGCAAGCATTCTACCACTGAGCCATAACCCCAGCCCCTCATTTGTTTTTATTTCATACTTTGCCTCCATAAATATTTAGCTTTCTATTTATCATTTATTTAATATCTGTTTACTTAACACTTACACCTACCACAAGCTAAATGCCAAGGATGTAGCAGTGAATAAGATAGATTTAGTCCTTTCCCTCACAATTTACTATCTACCTGTAGCTAATGTCTGTATTCACTAACTGAAAATTTTACTCCATCTTTGGTTACTAAGAGCCCCCTTACTCCTACCCTCCATTATTAAACAGTATCTCACAGAAAGACTTTTCTACAAAAATACTATGAAAGTAATCCTGTATCTATTTTCTCAAGCTTTGTTTCTTCATTGATTTTATTTATATATTTAACACCTTAAAGTCACCTCTCCACCCCCAAAGCCAGAAAGCAGAGAGCATGAAAATCACCCAAGTTACTACTGCAAAACAAATAGAACCACGTATCCCATAACTGAAATTTATTTTGACACTGTCCCCACTTGTTCATGATGTCCTGATTCTTTTCTCAACAAGATCCCTGTCAGCGTGGGGGGAGTGGGTAACCTTCACCATTCCCATGATGAATATTAGAGACTCCAAGAATATTAGAGACTCCAACCTGGAGTCATTAAGATGGGCTAGGTGGTTCATACCTGAATCCCAGCCACTAAGGAGCTGAGGCAGGAGGATCACGAGTTTCAGGGAAAATGGACAGCTTAGTAAGATCCTACCTCAAAATAAAAGTAAAAAAGGATTGGGGATATAACTTGGTGGTAGAGCTTCCCTTGGTTCAATGTTTTTTATTTTAAGACAAAGTTTCACTAAATTGCCCAGACTAGCCTTGCGGTCCTCCTGCCTCATACTCCTGAATTACTGGGTTTATAGGCATGCACTACCACACCTGGATACTATGCTTATTTTAAAGTAGCCAAATTAGTTTCATCTTCGGAGCTGTCATAAAAAAAAGTATTGTCATAGAAGAATCACTGAACTAGATACTTCGTACTCATAAGTAAATTGAAACTGAAATTAATCGGTCAACTTTATGGAGAAACTATAAGAAAGTCTACAGTAATGACTTGAGAATTATTTTAAAAATTTACAATGTAAGTTTTTAAAAAATACCTTTCAGGGGGCTGGGGTTCTGGCTCAGTGGTAGAGCACTTGCCTGGCATATGTGAGGCACTGGGTTCAATTCTCAGCACCCCATATAAATAAATGAATAAAATAAAGGTCCATCAACAACTAAAAAATACATAGATTAAAAAAAAATACCTTTCAGGGGCGGAGGTTGTGACTCAATGGTAGAGCGCTTGCCTGGCATGTGTGAGGCACTGCATTTGATCCTCCGTACCACATGTAAAAACAAAGTTAAGATGGGCTGGGGCTCAGTGGTAGAGTGCTCACCTAGCATGCATGGGGCACTGGGTTCGATCCTCAGCACCACATAAAAAAAAATAAAATAAAGGTATTGAGTCCACCTACAACTTAGAATACATATTTTAAAAATAAAATTAAAATAAAGGTATTATGTTCACATACAACTAAAAAAAAAAAAATACCTTTCAGGCTGAAGATTTTTAGACTCTTGATGTGACTTTTGAAGAACAGTAATACCCCTCACTACATTTTCCAGTTTGAGCCACCTGAGCATGTTAAATATGAAAATATGAATCTAATCAGAACATTTATTACACCATAAAGCAATTTTCTGAAAATGTTACTCAGTTCTATGACCTCATTACCAGGCATCTGTTTGCAAGGTTAGCATACAAGTTTATTTTGGCTGAGCAAAGCATAAATATATGAAGGACCTTTCAAGGATTTTGCTGAGGATGTTCAACATTCCATAGCTTTTCACATGAGAAATACAGGTGGCTTTTGTACAGATGAGCAACATTACTGACAGATGAAGGACAGATGAAGAAAAGTACTCTTGGTTATATTAACTATCTCTAGATTTCCTCTGACAGCCTCTTGGTGAATTCTTTAGTGGGCATAAAAAGTCAATTATCATAGAAATTAAAGCTTTATTGGTAAAATTGCTGAAATCTAATTGACTTAAATGTTCATGATTAGGTCAGAAATTCTGACATGTTGCTCTCTGTTTCAATGGCTGTTTGTGAAAGGATTTGAGAATATTCAACTACTTAGGATCATCCTCTTAAAAGAGAATATTTGTCCAGACAATGGAAAAGAAAGGTCATACCATTTTCCCTACCTTCTAATAGGTAAAACTCATGTGATGAACTCATTTTTTAAATTTTTTAGGTGTAGATGGACACAACACAATGTCTTTTATTTTTATGTGGTGCTGAGGATCGAACCCGGGTCCAGCCTGTGTTAGGCAAATGCTCTACCACTGAGCCACAATCCCAGCCCCATTACCAGCCCTTTTTTGTTTGTTTGTTTGTTTTGTTATTTATTTTGAGCCAGGGTTTCTCTAAGTTGCTTAGGGCCTCACTAAATTGAAACTTGTGATCCTCTAGATTACAGGCATGTGCCACCATGCCTAGCTATGTTTTTGAAGATCATGAAACTACACTATTTCTCTGTTTTCATATTAGTTCTATTCTGGGAACATTAAAAAAAAAATGTGTGTGTGTTTGTGTGTGTGTAGTGGCAAATCCAGTTTTAAAAAGTGATAATAGCTGATGAAGTATTGGGGTTTCTCAAAGAAGAGTTACATCCCCTTTTTGCTTTTTCCTAGGACCTGGCATTCCTTGAAGAGCATTGATAACAATAGGGTTAGTTACTCAAGAACTAAAGTAGAATCCAGGCAATAAATAGACACCACACACACACATACACACACACACACACACACACACACACTCTCTCTCTCTCTCTCTCTCTCTCTTTCTCTCTCTCTCTCTCTCTCTCTCTCTTTACACACACTCACACATACTCCATCAGATGCCTCAGGCTTTTTTACTCTAACTTAAACCTTAAGCAAAGCCCCTGTGGGTTGTGTCATCAATCCATGGAGATGCCCATGACCTTACCTGTAGTTTGCTGCTGAACTTCTGCTTATAAGTTTCAGTGTTCACATTAAAATATGCTGCTGTCTAGGGGCTGGGATTGTGGCTCAGTGGTAAAGTGCATGCCTAGCATGCATGAGACACTGAGTTCAATCCCCGATACCACATAAAAATAAACAAAATAAAGGTATTATGTCCATTTACAACTAAAAAATGTTTTTAAAAAATACTGCTCTCTAGGGAGAACTGTTTAGCAGTCAAGAGTAATGAAGGAAAAGGAGGGGAGGCATAAAAAGAATGTTTAGTTCTCTTACTATTTGCTCAATATCAGAACGATATCAGATGCACTAGGAGAAGAAAAGCACCTTAAATTGTCCTTCTCTATTTTCCTAAAATTTTGTTCTAGAGGCAACTATTCATACTGCAACAATAGAAATAACAATAGTGTATGAGTTTATCATTTGTGATCTAGGTTCTAAGATATTTGTTGATTATACTTACAGGTACCAAAGTTTTTGGATGATATAATTATTAAGCTGACTGACTCAATGACACTTTCACTCATTTGTATTCCAAAATGTACTTTCTTGAGTGGGAGGGTTTAGTATGTATAGCCAGCCTTGGAAATTGCACCTCAGTCAGGTTGAAGATATTTAGTTAGCTTTCTGTTTCTGTAACAAAATATCTGAAATAATGAACTTAAAAATAAGGAGAAGTTTTGTTTCAGCTCAGAGCTTTAGAGGCTTTAGTCCACTATTGATTGACCCTGTTGCTTGGGCCTATGGCAGAGCAGCATATCATGGAAGAGCAAAGCTCTTACCTCATGATGCTGGGAAGCAAAAACTGTAAACAAAAGGGACATGGATCTCCATATCCCCTTCAAGGGCACACCTCTCTTGAACTATCCTTTTTCCCACCAAGCCCATCTCTTAAATACTCAGCCATCTCCTATCAGTACCATGACTAAGGACCAAGTGAATAACATGTGGGCCTTTAAGATTTACACTATAACACATTAATTACTGAGAAAGGGCACACAAATACAAAGGTAGGATAAAGAAGATGACAGTTCTGAAAAAACAAGGCATCTATTTCAGATAAACACTGGTCACTTCCTTGCAGTGTATCTCAGCAGTATACTATTGACCATCTGTTTAATAATTATGATATCTGACAAAGAGGAAGCAAGTATAGAATATTTTTAAATGTATAAAATCCAATTGTTTTGTGGAGAAATAAATCCTTTGGTAATTATTTATCATGATTTTTAAAATATGGTAGAAAGTGTAGCTCAGTGGTAGAGCAACTTGCCTAGCACATGTGAGGCAATGGGTTTAATCCTCAGCAAGCACCATAAATAAATAAATAAATAAATAGAAAGGTATTATGTCCATCTATAACTTTTTTTTAAAAGGGTAGAAATTCAAAGCTCAAGTGGGGTATGTAAATGGGATTTCATTTTGATATAATATGGTATCAATAACCCAAAGTTATGAATCAAGACCTTTTCTTCAGGGTAAAATACAAGTTAGCAGTAACACCCAAATGTATGTAGTACCTTTGACTTTGAAATTTAGAGCTTAACCATGAGTTTCTATGGTAACTTTCTAACTAGAGGCAATCATAGATTCTCATGTGTGAAAAGAAGAAATAATAAGTGTAAAAAGCCTTCAGAAGAATATTTTAATCTAACTATAAATAAGAAATGAGTCATCTGTATGCTATACAAATTTAAAGTAGGTAAATTTAGAAATTATTTTCTCTTTTCACAAAGCTTTATAATTGGGGGGTATACTTATATATGAAAAGTTCAGAAAATGTAACTTTCAAACTGTACAATGAGGAAAATCATTGAATTTTGATGGAAACACTATAGAAAACATCCCTGGAGAACATCTCTATCTGCACAGCCCAATACTGTAACTACTAGCCACATGCAGCTATAGCATTTGGAATGTGACTAATGCAGTTAAGGAATAATTTTTATTTTATTTCATTTTTACTCATTTATGTTTAAATATTCCCACCTGTGTGTAGTATCTTTCATATTATTAAGCAAAATAACTTAAAGTCAGATCATATAGTAATCACTATACAATATTCACCAAATAGTGTATTTATTAATTGAATTTCATTATATATCCAAATTTCTTTGGCTCTTAAATTTTTCTGCCTTGTTCTAGGAAGAGCTAGTACCACTCTTGGCTTAGCTTTAAAACAATGTCTTCACTTTGAAAAGATCTCCTAAATCATAAACTTTGCCCCAAAATAGTAATTTTGGTATCACTAATCCAGAATACTGAGTCAAGACTCAAAATTATGGATGCTTTTTCTCTGAGGATGATCTCATCACACATTTTTTTGTACTATAAAATTAAATACAATCCTGAAATGTCTGGGTGACATATATTAATGCTGTAGCTTGCTTTGAAAGGCATAAAAATGAAAGGGATTGACAGATAGTTGATATGTGATATAGCAAATAGCAAAATATAAAGAATATGTGGTGGTCATTATACAAATCTTTCAACTTTCATTCTTAAAGTTTGATAATAAAATGGTTGAGGATGTTATTAATATAGCAAAATGTTATTATGTTTCATAATAAAATGTCTTAATATTTAAATGTTAAATGCAAGCATACTAGATAGTTTATAAAGTATTTTTTTCTGGATCTATCACTTCTCTATTAATAGAGCCAAGGAGCCATAACTGAACGTTTAAGAAGTTTCAGTATGCATGATTTAACAGCTATACAAGGTGATGAGCCTGTGGGACAAAGACCATATCAGCCTTTACCAGAAGCAAAAAAGAAAAGCAAACCAACCCCCAGTGAATCAGCAGGTGTGTTATTTGTTTTAATATATGGTCCTTTCATAATTGGGCTTGAGGGTCAAGTTGGGTACTATAGTTGTACCCAACTATTGACTGTCAGAAATTGGGTAAATAAAATTTACTTTTAAGCTTATATTTTTTTAGTTTTATGTTTAATTATAGCTCTTTTTCTCCAAACTTTTCTAAATAATGTTATCCTTTGCCTTTCATTGACTGTGGAAATCATGCAGCTAAGAAAATAGCAGTAGTGAGGCTGGGGTTGTAGCTTAGCAGTAACACACTTATGCATGGCCCTGGGTTCGATCCTCAGCATCACATATAAATAAATAGAATAAAGGTGTTATATCTAACTACAACTAAAAAATTAAAAATATATATTTTAAAAAGAAAATAGCAGTAGTCTCTTCTGCTGCCATGAATTTTTAGAAGCCATGGGTGTGGTTGCCTCCTCACCAGCCAGCACTAGTTCTGACCTGTGATCAATATTCTAACTATGTACTGACATCTAAGGAGTTTTAGAGTTAAGCACACTTTCCTGTAAGTGCTGTGGACTTACAGCACTTATGTTGTAAGGATGTTGATTCACAAGATAAAAAGTTTTAGCTGATGAAAAGATGATTCAATTTGAAAATAGGATTACTCCAGTAGAAAATGTATTGAGATTCCATCTTTTAGTTCAGGAGCTAACTTGTTTGCATATTCTCTGTGAATTGTGAGCATTGTTACAGTTGCTGTGTCATGTAGCTATAAAAAAACTATCGTGCTGTTAGAAGCTTATACATAAATAAAACAAAATTTCTTCAATATTTTGTCATTGATAAGAAAAGTTTGAGGGGCTGGGGGCTCAGTTGTTAGAGTGCTTGTCCCTCAAGCACAAGGCCCTAAGTTCAATCCCCAGCACCAAAAAAAAGAAGAAAGAAAATTTTGATTCAAGGCAAACCTGAGAACTGAGGTCTTCTACACTTTCCTATTAAAGTGTTAAGTCCGTGAGATACAAGATTATTTAAGTTTTCTTTTAAAAAGTAAAAGTTGTTTTTGAAGGACATTAAGTTATTCTTCATAATTAATCTTTGAAAAAATAAAACAATAGTCTCTCCTTACAAAGGAAAAATAATGAAATTTTTTCCAAGTTCTCACAAGAATGAATAACTTTACAAAGTTGGTGGCTATTATCTAAAAGCTAGTAATCAAGCATTAGCCATTGATTAAGATAGTGATACCTTTTAGCAAGAGAAACCATTGAACTTTGAGCCATCAACGTAAGTATTAATACATTAATACTGAAAACATAGCTCTGAACAGGCTTATCTTAATATGCATTTTAAATTAGTTATATTGATTTTGATTATGGGTTCTGCTTTGTCTTAGACTGTTATCAGCAATTTTTTCATATTTTAGAATGGGTTAAGAATTGTATTCCAATTATCTAAATGAAAATGGGATTATAAATATGAAAATTCTAACATTTTTATGATATTAATTTATTAAATTTAAATTGGTGTGACTAAATTTTTTTTCTTTGCAGTACTGGGGCACTCTACCACTGAGCTACATCTCTAGCCATTTTTGTTTTTTATTTTGAAACAGGATCTCATTAAGTTGCCCAGGCTGGCCTCAAACTTGCATTATCCTCCTGCCTCAGCCTTCAGAGTTACTAGGATTACAGGAGTGCACTACCATGCACACCCTGTGTGACTAAAATATTTTAAGATACATAGGTTTTATTTAGTTCTTTTTGTTACATTTCAAACCATGAACTTAAAATAACATAAGATATATGAAAATAACTGATGATGTTAAGATAATTGCTAGACTTAGAAACTGAGGTATAAATTGAAATTATACCTTGCCTCAAACCTAAGATTAAGATTTGAATATAAGAAACCATGTAGTAGGAAATTCCTGTGTATAATTTTATTCTCTTAGATGGGTAAACTTTCTTAAGCCTGACACCAAAATCAGAATTCATAACAGAAAAGTTTGAGGGACTTTTCTACCTTAAAAAAAAAAAATAGTCTCACTAAGTTGCTTAGAGCCTCACTAAATTGCTGAGTGAGGCTGGTCTCTTCCCGCCTCCGTCTCCTGAGTCATTGGGATTACAGGTGTGTACCACCGTATCCAGAGGCTTCAGATTTATGACAACATATAGAGGAGAAACACACCAAAATAGAAAAAGACAAATCACAAACTGTCAGAAATATTTTCATTGTATTTTACAGGCAAAGTATATATACCTATATGAGAGAGAGAGAGAGTGTGTATGTGTGTGTGTGTGTGTTTGTGTGTGTGTGTGTGTGTTTGTGTGTGTGTGTTGTGGGGGCATTACCACTGAGCTAGAATCCCAGTTTTGGCCAGGGGAGTTGAGGGGTTTTGTTGTTTGTTTTTTGAGACAGTGTCACTAAGTTGCTTAGGGCCTCACTAAATTGCTGAGGCTGGTCTCAACTTGGGATCTTCCTGCCTCAGTCTCCTGAGTCATTGGGATTACAGGTGTGCACCACCGTACCCAGGGGCTTCAGATTTTTGACAATCCAGGAACCCTTACAAACCAGTTATTAGTCCTACAAAGAGTACAACTGACCAACAAATACATGAAAAAATATTTTCAGTTTCAGATCGTCAATATTACTTATTTTAATCACAGCTGTTTGATTTAAATAACACTTTTAATTTCAATTAAAAAAGCAATAGTAGTAATTTTTGCTCATTGGATTTGGGGGGAATGCTTTTAATTAACATTGCTTCATGTTGGTAACTGTTCCAGTTATCTGTTGCTACATAACAGACCACTCCAAAACAGTGGCCCAGACAATCACAGTCACTTATTTTGCTCATGCATGTGGGGGATGAATGGACTCAGCAAAGCAGTTTTTGTTCAGGGTCTCATGCAGCTGTGATCAGAGAGCAGCTGAGGCTGGAGTCATCATCTCACACATGTCTAAGCCAGGAAGAGGCAAACAGCTGTCTCTATGTTCTCTCTTGTGATCTCTGAGCTTAGTTTAACTCACCTGGCAGTAGAAGTTTCCAGAGTCAGAGTCCCAAGAGAAAGTGGCAGAGGTCCTTCAGTGTGAATTCCACCACATTTTTGGAAGCCATTTGTCAAAGTAGGTACAAAGGATTTAAGAAAAGGGAAAAAGAGTGTCAGGGAATTCATGGGTATTTTTAAAACCACCACAGAAAATGTGTTGAGATGCAAACACTCTTGTGCATGCTGTATGAATTTAAAATGCAATAATCCTTTTGGATGACAATCTGGCAGTAATCATCAAAATACATTCCATTTAACTCAGCAAGAAACTTCGAGGAATACGTCATAAGGAAATAATCAGACAAATGTTCAAAGATATATATGTGAGAATGTTCATCTCAGACTGGGGATGTGGCCCACTGGTAGAGAGCTTGCCTCCCATACCTGGCCCTAGCCAGTACTGACAAAATAAAAAAATAAAGTTCATCTCATTTAAAATAACAAATATTAGAGGACTGTGAATGTAGCTTAGTGGTAGAGTTGCTTGCCTAAGCGTGTGTAGGACCCTGGGTTCAATCCTCAGTACTGCCAAAAATAAATTAAATAACAAATATTAGAACAAATCAAATTTTTGACAAATACCTTAGAAAAATTATTAAACAAAAAGGTAATTTATTAGCCATGAAGAATAATAATGTCAATATATACTTACTGATATGAAAATATATTCAGATTGTAAGGAAAATATTAACAGTAAAACAGTATGTGTGTTTTGATCCTATACTATAGAGACAGTTAGATATTGAAATGGACTAATATGTATAAAGTTATTTTGAATTGTATATTTGTTTTTTAGGGTTTTTTTATATTTTTTTCATTGTCAATGGACTTTATTTATTTATATGTGATGCTGAGAATCGAACCCAGTGCCTCACACATGCTAGGCAAGTGCTCTACACTAAGCCACAACCCCAGCCCTATATATATGTTTTAATGAAGTATTTGGCTTGACTCAGTATCTTCCTTCTCTTCATTTGGGATTTTTATTAGGTTACTAAATTAAATTTGTCAATTTCATCTCCTAATAGACCCCGAATTACTCTACTTTTTGTATCCTCACTCTTGGGACTATGTCAATTCAGACCTACTTGCTTAGGCACCCTGTTTTCAGTCTTATCCATTTTAGGGGTGGTGGGAGTAATCGGGAATTGAACTCAGGGGCACTCAACCACTGAGCCATATCCCCAGCCCTATTTTGTATTTTATTAGAGACAGGGTCTCATTGAGTTGCTTAGCACCTCACTAAATTGCTGAGGCTGGCTTTGAACTTTAGCTCTTCCTGCCTCTGCCTCTCCAGCCACTGGGATTACAGGCATGAGCCCCCATGCCCAGCCTAACCATTTTTGATTCATTCTCCAAAGTGCAGTTTTTTACGCAACCCAGATGTCATGCTAGTCTTCTGCATAAAATATTTCCAAGCCCCCCCCACCCCATTTCTTTTTGTGAAGTGCAAATTTGATAGCATGGTATATATCTCCCAATCTTATTCTCCCACTCCATCATGCCCTAACTGTGTGGAATCACAAGCTCTTCAGGATTTAGCTTAGCCACTATCTCCTAAAGGTCTTCTCTTGAACCTGAGTGAACCTAGGCTGAGTGAATTCTCCTTACTATGTGCTCCCCTGGCACCTTGTCCTTATAGTATCATAATGCCCATTTGACCCTGTTTCCCCTGTTGGACTGTAAGTTTCTTGAAGGGAGAAAAAGGCAGCTGTGTCTTTTCATCATTGTATCCCCATACTTTAGTACATGACTCATACATAATAGAATTTAAACAATATTGTGGAATAACAAGTCAAACCATCTCTTTTCCTGAGACTATAATTAGAAAGTAAGATTTTTTTAGCTGAAATTAGAAAAGAAGGAAAGAATATGTTGTATAATCACCTTTTGAATGACATTCCAAATATTAATCATATGAGAAGCAACTAAAATGGCAAAGACTGTTTATTGAACTGTAGTTATATGCCACATCTGTGACCTTAGAGAACTTTCTGACTCTCCTTGACTCCTTATTGTGTTTTACCGTACTGGAATTAGGAATATTATGTAAGCACAGCAGTAGAAAAATAATCCAGATTGGGAATATAGCTCAGTGACCAGAGTATTTGTCTAACCTGTGGGAGGCCCAGAGTTCTATCCTCAGCCCCTTAGTAATAAATAATCTAGAGATGACAGCCTACAAACAATTTTTTTCGGGTTTGTTTTCCTCAGTTACAGAAGTATAATTTTAAAATAAATATTTTGCAAATTAAAGAAAAGGGAAAATGAAGTTTAGAATTATCTACAAGTCAACTTCCATGAGATATGATGATATTATTTTTATTTTTTTTTCCTTTGTTTATATGTGTGCAATTTTTCCCACTTACTACTGCATGAAGAACATTCTCACAGGCCTATGACCCCAGGCGCTGACCTGGGCACACTGGCCTCCTCCTTCCAAGCAGTTTTACTCCTCTGCTGCCCTAGCCCTGGGCTTATACAGTCTCTTCTTCCCAGAATACACTTCTTTTGAACACTGCAGGAAAAGAAAGATCTTGGCCTAAATGACAACCAATTCTGCTTTCAACTCCTCTTTAATTTTTAGCCTAGACATCTAACAGCATAAAATCAGACTTGTCTAACATACAGTTAAAGTAGTTTACATATCAGAGTAAGAAGCATATTAGCAACTCTTGTGTGGTTTTCTTAGTGAGTTCACATTATTTCTTCAGTATATATTTTTTCACGTGCAATGAGTCTATCTCTTGCCTCCTCCTAAGCCCGGAAACCTTTCTACTTTTTCCTCACCTGATGATTTAAGTATGTATGCTTCTTATCTTTATTAAAGAAGAATTTGAAACTTCATGGGGCCTTTTAACGCCAGCTCTATCTATATAACCTACCCACCCAGTGGTCTGACTGCCTTAGATTGGCCCTTACCTGGTTCTCTGTCTAGGACCCTCAGAAAACAGGGTCATTAGCATAAACATCATCTGGATACTTGTTAGAACAAGATCCAAGTGCCACCCCAAGCCTGTTGAATTTCAAGCAGTCTGTGTATTGATAAGTTTTCCTGGTATCTCTTAATGTGAACTTGTGCTTCAGGGGTGATAAAGTTCTTGTACCTCAGGATACTCTCAGACTTCCTCACAATACTGACCTAATTATCTGGATGTTTGCATGTGGCTAATAGTTAAGTCTTTATAGTTACACATAACAGCCTATTAGCACACCCACCATGTGCTCTCTCACTGACCTTCCTGATACTCGTTGTTTTCTCTTGACTAACATCTGTCATCTTAGCCTGTGGTGTTTCTAATTACTGTTGCCTGTCTGGCTGGGTTTTATCTCAGTGCAACAGGGTTGGTCTAACCTCCCCATTACCTGTACCCAGTGAACTTACCTTGCCAAAAGTTGAAGCCCCTTTGGGTCTTCTTAGTTCACCTTACCATTCCCAGTCTTCACAAAAGAGATTATATGGGGTGAGGGAACCTTAATTGCTAAAAGTCAAAGGTACACATGACAAACTGAAACACACCAATGCTTGGGTTTTTTTGAATTTATGAAAAAGAGAAAAGATGAGAAGATACTTCGCAATATGTCTCATTATATTCTCTGATTGTTTAACAGGATGCACGAGTCACTGCTCAAAAATAATTTTAAAAATGTATAGTAAAAATAAGAATGATCAGGGAATCCTAGAGGAAATGAGTTATGATCTTCTAGAATAGTGCAGAAGGCAAAGATTAATGGCAAGAGGTGGGAGCACATTCCAAATGAGAGAGAAGGGGAACTGAGCAAATGCAGAATATGCAGAGAACGTCCACAGGTGAAGAGCCAGTGCTGACTGGTATCCTTTTACCAAAACATGCTGTTTTTGACAACTTGTTTAGCTTATGGAATTCCACTAAAAGATGGAGGTGAAAAAACAGATGAAGAAGCGGATGGGCCATATTCAGATGATGAGATGTTAACACACAAAGGGCTTCGGAGATCACAAAGCATGAAATCTGTGAAAACCATCAAAGGCCGCAAGGAGGTTAGTCAAGTGTAGAGTTGTTTTTCTAATGATTGGGGTTTGGGGGTTTCCCTGCTGCATTATCATTTAGGGTATTAATGATCCATAAATGAAGAGTTGGAATGATAGAGCAGCAGTTGTATATTAAATTCTCTGGAAATTTTTTTTCTGGGAATTTTGAAAGTGGTAAATTTCTAGTCTTCCAGTATAAGTAGAAAATGGTATTCCCACACAGTACATCACATGGTTATCATGAATACCCAGTGCCAGCCTTGTGCTACTGAAAAAAATTAACTACATATTTTTGCTTTCAACCAACCTTACATGGTGAATAAATAATAAAAGTTTTTCCATAATGATGTTTTCTCTATGCCCGAAAAGGATGTCAGATCAATATTCACCAACATTATACAAAGCAAAACATAAATAATAACAGTGTATGTTTTATGAGTATATAAGAAGTGCTGTTCTATACATGCTTACAAGATAATTTATTCTTTGTATCAGAAAGTTAAAAATTCCTATGATTGTGAACTGTTAAATCTTGTCTTATTTTTAAAAATAATCAGTCAAATTCTTAATAACACATTTCTCTCTTCAGGTGCGGTATGGTTCACTAAAATATAAAGTGAAGAAGAGACCACAGGTGTATTTTTAGCCTTCTATACTTCAGATATCTTAAATAATGCTAATACATCAACTTCATTTTCTAATATGATATATTCAGGATTTACATATTAAAATAGTTCTTGAAATTGTGGTAGTGATAGGAATTACTTTCATGAATTTACATAGCTTTATTTCTTTAACAGTTACTTTCAAATATTGACTACAAAAGGTAGTTATATGCAAGACCTACTAATATACGTACATCAAAAACTACAGAAAAGCATGTTATGCATTTTCATATTCATCAACAATACTGATTGCCTGGGATATTAGATGAAACACAGACCCACACTATACTTGAAAAGATTCTTTATGGTTCAGGATACATTAACTTTTGTGGTATTAAACATTGTGTTTACCTTTATATATGTTATCTCTATCACATGAGGATAGTAAATAAATAGGCCTCTGATCAGGCAATGATATAACAAGGACATAATGTAAGATAATAAGGTATATTTTGTATATTCCTTTAATTTTTACTTTTATAATATTTTCTCATTTTTCCACCATTAATTGAAATTTTTTGAAACAAATATTTGAAAACCAGGTATCCACGTAGCACTTTCCTGACTAGTTTTGCACACTTGAAAAATGTTTACTTATTTTACAACTGTACATTACTTTAAATTTTGTTGACACTGTATGCTTGTTTGTCTTATTCTGACATGGCAAATTTATACCTTGAAATTCATCATCTCCTTTCTGTGAGTTTCATTTGTTAAATTCATTGGATTTATAATATGAAAATATAACTAACTGTTCAATTATTGCTATTTTAATTATTTCCTTTACAAATGAAAAGTTATTTTAAATATTAACCAGTTTTCCATAATTAGCTGTACAATGTAGTTGAACTTAGTATATTTTTGTCAACACCAATTACATTTTCAGCTTTTAAAAATGGTAGCTTTTGTGAAATAGAGTTAGAGATTAGTATAGTACTTAGATCTCTTCTGATTCATAAAATAATCCACCAGCCAATCCATTCACAAGCTTGGCATTAATATGTGCTGCTGGTTTATAAATCTGGCATTGACTCAAATCATTTGAATATTTTTCTGGCTGAGATAATTCTCTGAAGATGAGTGCCGATACAAATTCAGACACCATTAATCCTGTATATCAGAAGTTATTTTAAAAAATGTTTTAATCCAAAAGATTTTGGAGGCTTTTTTAGGTCACATTGATAAGTATGTATTGTGATCCCTAAGTCAGTATATTTTTGGCGATGGTTTTAGTGATCAGTAATCCAATTGTACAGGCTAATTTACTTGACTGTTTTGCTTATTTGCCCAAGAGAACACAGAGGGAGAGATTTGTGAGATCATTGACCTTTCTACCTTTTAAGAAAGGGAGCCAGTTGGTGATATACATTCAGGATCTCCTCAGAGTATTAGCCAAGAATTCAATGTTTACTCAGGAGTACCTTGGTGTGATTCATATGTTGCATCCATATTAGTCTTTAATATTTTCTGGACTATCTCACATTCACACTAAATAAAACTTCTATTTTTTTCCTCCCAAAATTTAACTTTCTGAACACCTCCATCTTTATCTTGAGTAATTTTTAGCCTCTTAGCTTCTGGAAGGACTCTTAATTCCTTTTCAAAATTCCTATGAATTCTAATTATACTAGACTTCTTAATATAAATGCTACACTGTGCTTGCTCTTCCTAGGCAGAGGCAATGTCATCTCAAATTGCCTGATAAGGTCATGTAAGTGACGTTGTATCAAGAATATTATCTATGGGGGCTGGTTGGTGCCATTTTACCTTTTTTAAATCTAATCTCAGTATTACACTTTTCCTGGTGGTAGAGCACATGTACAAGGCTCTTGGGTTCAATCCCCAGCACCATAAAATAAAAATTAAAAAAGAATAAGTACTACCACAACAACAAAAAAGCACCATCCTTTAGTAAACTCAAACTATTTTAAATTGAAAGAATTATTTATCTTGTAGGGTCAAAATGCTTCATCAAAGATACCTGTCTCACGAATGCAAAGTTCTTCTGTTTAATTATACTCCTTCAAGTTCACAGTCCTTCCTCTGATATATTTCTACTGTTGTATCTTACACATAGTTGCTACCTTTTTTATTTCCTATCATTTTCGTTTCATTTTACATTTCTTAAATTAGAGTTTCTGTCACCTTAATGTGTTTTAGCATTCCTTTTTTGATCTTTGTGAAATAAACCTACACATTTTTATTTCTTTTAAGGTAGAATAGGGCTCTCTCTCTCTCTCTCTCTCTCTCTCTCTCCTTTTAAGTTCACTGATTTTTTTTTAAATGTAAATTTATCCTTAGACCACAGTGCCTTGCTTTTCTCCACTGCTCCTTGAGGCCTAGATATTAAGTGTTTTGGTAGCTGTTGGAATTTATTCAGAAATTATAGCCAGTATCTTATTTTACTATTTGTTCATTCAGTTTGCTCACTACTACTTAACTGTTTCAAAAGTTTCTTTAGAAGTAAGAACTGATCTGTTCTTTAGAGTATTGTTTCTGGTGTTGCCTATCAGGCTAAGTAATAATATAAGCCCACCCAAGTCTGACATAAGATCCCCACCACACACCTCACTGTGTATGCATATTTGGCTAAAAAAATAATACTGCCACCATTATTTATTATAAATACTTGACTACACTGTTTGATGGAACAAAATTATCAGTGTGTTTTCAGGGATCTTATTTCATATGTCACCACCAAAGATTTCTACAGTATTATAAAGTATGTAAATATTCTAATTACTATAAAATGATGGTTAGATAAATATGTTTTCATTCTTTCTTTTTTTGTAATAACACAGTTTGTATTTTTGGAAAATGCTTGAACTTTTATATTATTAAAATATATTATTCTAATATTAAATACAAGTAAATTTTACTTTTTAATTGGAATGGGCTAATTTTTCTTTAATATCACGAAAATTGGGGAGCTAATATATATATATATATATTTAAAAGCAGTTTCCTGTGTTTTCTCCTGTATAGGTTGATTCATCTGTAAAGCAATTAGGTAAAATTTGAGAAGATCATTCATTGTTATTGTGGTATTCAGTATATAATATGTCTTAGTAAACATCATTTGCAATTAAAGCTTTCTGAAAGGAAGGCACAGCTTTTTCCCCTAATTATCTTTAAAATTTAATATTTTAATATTCTGAAGATTTAATGTGTATTAGTGCCTTTCAAGCATTGACCATGACTTAACATTTTCTCTTTTATAACACCTTCTACTCTGTGTACTTTAACAGCTAAAAGAGAATAATTTACAAAATTTTAATATCTTTGTAAAGGTTATCTTTATCCAAGTATGTGGGTAAATTTACAAGTGTATTTTTGGAAAACTTTAAGATAAAATAAACTAATTTTATTAGTGGCAATTTGTGTTTTGTTTTTTATGTCAGAATGCATATGTTGGATTCCATGAATTGGTATCATTTATTATTGAATATGTCTTGATAAAACAATGGGCATTATATACACACACAAAAGATTACAATCACAGCAAGTTATAAAAATCATACCCATTCTGTAATGTTCATCCGTAGGACTACAAAAAATACACTGAATTGTTCAGTTTAAATTTTAGAAAGGGGAAAATTGGGAAAAAATGAGTACAGAAATCTTAACCATCAGTTGATTGGTTAGCTGCCTCAGACATAAAGCAGAAAACAAAATTCAGATTTATGTATCCTGAAAATATTCTGGGATTCCATCTGCTTGAAAGTCAGACGTCTGTCTGCCTCACATTTCAGCTTTAGAGAGGAATCCTATGTTTAAAAAAGTTTCCTTGTGTTACTTCATTCTGATATGTAATATATGTTAAAGTGTTTCCAGATAGCATTTAAAATGGAGGTTTATTTCCATTTTTATTGATATATATTATATACATATGTATATATTTGGTGTGGTAATTCAAAGAGTTTAGAAAGTTAAGTGAAAATTCAAAAGAACACAATGAATATATGAACTGCAGCATTTTTTTTTTATTTTCATGTATTTATTTATTTATTTTAGTGTTTTATTCTTCCCTGAAGAGGTTCATTGTTCTTAAAAAAGAGGTTTGGGAAACAAAAATCATGTCAGAGGCTGATTCATTGTTCCTTGGAATACATTCTGCCTTTTTACCTATCCATCAAGATTGTACCCTTGAAACACTCTCCATAGGGTTTGGTGTTGGTTGTGTGTTTAAATTGTTTTTTTACAAGATAATTATTTTATTTGAAATTTAAAAAAAAAAAATTTTTAAGTTTTAGGTGAACACAATATCTTTATTTTATTTTTATGTGGTGCTGAGAATCGAACCCAGTGCCTCATGCATGCTGGGCGAGCGCACTACCACTTGAGCCACATCCCCAGCCCCTGATTTGAAATTTTAAAGCACAGGATTGATAATTGTCTATAAATGACCACACTTAATTAAAACAAGAAAGTTACTATGCTTTCTCTTTGTTTACTTAACTATCCCATATTAAGAGAAAAAAACAGAGAAAGAAAAAGGATAGTATTTTGGCATCATGTGCAAATCGAATTAGCATCAATTTTTACATTAAAAAAATCCATTGAGTGCCTACAATAGCACACTTATGTTTCTGCACAATGCCTTTATCCAAGCAGGGTAACATAACAATTTAAGGGAAATAAATTTCTCCTTTTAAAAGACTGAATTCACTGGGAGAACATGGGAGGATCAGACGAACTCTAGATAGGGAAAGGGGTGAGAGGGGGGGAGGGAGGGAGAATGGAAGTTTAAAAAAGATGGTGAAATGAGATGGACATCATTACCCTGAGTACATGTATGAAGATACGAATGGTGTGAATATAGTTTGAATAACCAGAGATATGAAAAATTGTGCTCTATAAGTGTAATATGAATTGTAATGCATTCTGCTGTCATATACAGCAAATTAGAATAAAAAATAAATTTAAAAAAAACTGAATTCACTGTTACCAAATCAATGTTTGGATCATTTGAGGATAATTTAACTTGAGATTCCTTCTAAGTCATTGCATAATTAATTTGGTTCTCTCAAAGCAGATTTTTTTCTTTATTTCTTTTGTGGTTCTGGGGATTAAACCCAAGGGCACTCTTCATACAATTGAGCTATATTCCCAGCCCTTTTTACTTTATTTATTTTGAGACAGAGTCTTGCTAAATAGCCCAGACTGGTGTTCTCAAACTTGGGATCCTCCTGCCTCAGCCTTCTGAGTCTCTAGAATTACAGGTGTGAGCCACTGTATCTAGCTTCCCTTACCTCTTAACATCCAATGTGTCAATAAGTCCTCTTGGCTTTCTCCAAAATATATCCTGAATCTGACAGTTTCACTGACATATCCTGCAGCTTCCTTTAGTTGAAGTCATCATCTCAGAACTGTCCCAGTTTCTTATGTTTTCAACTAGTACCCTTTGGGAAATATTTGTAAAAAGATAGTTGTTAAAAAGAGAAGGGAGGGCTGGGGATGTGGCTCAAGCGTTCGTCTGGCATGCGTGCGGCCCGGGTTCGATCCTCAGCACCACATACCAACAAAGATGTTGTGTCTGCCGAGAACTAAAAAATAA